TTGGCAGTTTGAACCTTCCTGTCTGTAAAGAGCTTATCCATATCATGACATTGTCACACTGCATGAGGTTCCTGCCACAAATATTGTTTTGTGCCCAAAACATTTGGCAGAGAACTACATTTTTCTTGTTTGTAATGTGTCCAAAAGCCTTCTGGCAGACATATTTTCTATAACAAGATCAAGAACAAAATATCTATAAATATCTGTTTGTTAATTTCCCATTACGGCTCTGTTATTTCATGACAGTGTTGTTCATCTGCAGGAGGTGATGCAGTATGGTATGGAAACATTACTGGGCTTCTTGTTGCCATACGGCGTGATCATAGGCAGTTACGTGTGCATCCTGCGCAGAATCCGCAAGACGCGCTTTCGCAGACGCATCCGCAGCGAGAAACTCATCCTGGTGATCATCATCACCTTCGGACTGTTCTGGCTGCCGTACCACATCATAAACATGGTGCAGGTGTGTGTCTGTCCATCAAACACTCCATTTCTCAAATGTGAAAACAACCTAATCGTGTTTTCCTCACACAGGTGGCTGCTGCTTTACATCCAGAAGATTCTCCCGCAAAAGAAAAGTGAGCAACTTAAAACACTCACACCAGGACCTCAGCAACTCTAAAAGGAAGATCAACCTATGCTTCTCATGCCAGAGAGCAACATCTCTTAAACATATTTAAAATGTTCTAAATTGTGCTCGTTTCCCTTACCTTTTTGCATTGTGCAATTAACTTTAAAGGGGTCATATGAAGTTGCTAAAAAGAACATTATTTTGTGTATTTGGTGTAATGCAATGTTTACGCGGTTTAAGGTTCAAAAACACATTATTTTCCACATACTGTAACTGTATCTTAGTGTTGCTCCTCTCTGCCCCACCTTTTTGAAACGCGTCGATTTTTAAAAAAGGTCATCGTTCTGAAAAGCGAGGTGTGCTCTGATTGGCCATCTGTCCATTGCGTTGTGATTGGCCGAAGACCTCAAGCGTGTGATGAAATGTTACGCCCCTACCATATGTGAAATATCAGCTTCTATGGCTGCGGCGGCAACAATACTAAGACCCCGATCAGACCGAATGCATTTTTTAGGTCGGAAAATTTTGGTTACTTTAAAAAAAAAGAGCAGTGCGCTGTTTTTTTATGTTGCTAGGTAACCACCAAATCAGCTGTCCTGTCAGTGTAATCAAAGGATTATAGCGCGAGTGCTCTAAAATCTTTGGTTTTTGCTGTAAAGTAAACTGTTGTATTAGCAAAAACCTTAAAAAAATACAGCTCTGGTTAACCCGCGACAGACACCAAAAGGTTCTCCTCCATCATTGCAGTCTCCGGACTTTCTAAGCAACGGTAAACTTTCGTCACCACAACGGAAGGCCCGCCTCTCCATTCATTTGAGTGGACAATGGAAATGGATGGGGGCGTGTTTGAATTAGGCGTTTTGGGAAGATGCGTATGAATCCTTTTAGAACTCATTTATGAGTTATTTTAGAAAGAATATCTCTTTAGGTTTGAGACTTTAATCTTTGCGACTTTACGGATCTTAAATGTGCACAAACAGCTTGTAACACTCTAAAGACAAGGAAAACATGAAATTGTATCATATGACCCTTTTAAGTAGCTAATGTTTGAGTAAAATTAACTCATCTCATTTAGTAACTTTGACAAGGAAAGATATGCTTAAAAATGGTAAACAAATTCTGCTGTAAAGTATCTCTAACAAGACAATATTGTCATTAGGCTATACAGTCCAGAAACCCAAAGCAAACTTATACGTTTTTAAATTGCTTTTATAACGTCTCAAATTTTTATAACCAAATAAGCATCAAAACACATTCCTGTCTTCCTTCGACAGCCTAAAAAAGATCAGGATGAAGCTGCAAGCACTCACCTCTACTGTGGCCTTCGTCAGCAGCTGCATAAACCCAGTGCTTTACACATTCGCTGGGAAGTCGTTCATCCGGCGGGAGGGTCTGGCCTTCATGGCGCGGCTGTTCGAGGGAACGGCGCTGGAAACGTCGCGGAGGATCCGGCACAGCAACCAGAACAGCCGCGACCGAGAGAAGGAGACCGATGAGGGAGAAAGTCTCAATGACAAAGACTCAGATTCCACCACCACCACCGCTAACGCAAACTCGGTTATTAAAGTTGTGCCGCCGAAAAACGGTAAGTGAGCATCTGGCTGCGGCTCGTTACGGGGAACTCAATCTACGGTGAGAGAGCGCTGGGCTGTGCGTTGTTCCGGTGTTGCACGGTGTGGTAAAGGTGTGCTTTTCTAACAGATGGAGGTCAATCCAAGTTTATATTTTAAAATAAAAACTGTTTACCAATGGTGTACCCAAAAACAAAAGAGAACAAGAGGCTCAGTGTCAAACCATCACCAGACAGAGAACTGAGATGGCCACATGGGTTTTATACATTGACTAATGGGCTAAACAAGGAACAGGTTCTAACCGTTAAAAACATGACAAAGAAAGTCCACAAGTTCGACCTGGAATACTCTGCATTTCAGCACTTTCAAAGAACTGCTTCATGTGTTTGTCCAGCAGAGGGTGCCACGCAGGGCCGTCCTTAGCTGACGCGGGGCCCGGTGCGAGGAAGGGAGCCCCCCTCGGTCCATTCGCGATCGAGTTCCGGGGGCGTCCCCCTTGGTTCGTTCACCACGGGGCCCGGTGCGACTGCAGCAGTTGCACCCCCCTAAGGACGGCCCTGGTGCCACGCAACTGAGGGACAGATGAACCATTCAGATTATGTCAGAATAAGACCACCTCCATGGATGGGTCCAAAGATTCAAGACTGAAAGGGAAAACGTTGGGTTGACACTGAAAATTAAGAGAGAACCCATTATCCAAGTCCTGTTTTCTTTCAAAATAATTTCAATGACTTTTCCATAACATTTCCAGTAGCTCATGATTAATGTTTAAGGAATTTGGTTTGTTTAAAGATTTGACATATTGCACTCAAGTAAATATTTACAACTGCATTATTAAAAAAATACATTGAAATTTCCATGACATTTACAGTGAACCCGTATGACAGTAAAGGAGGGTGAATCAGGGTATGAGACCTTTTTTTGGGCAATGTAACAATGAATGAGGTAAATTAAAGTTTAAGGATTTTTGTGTTTACTTATGTCTGAACAAATGAACAATTGTTGTTATTTACATTTTTTTTGTACTACATCATCAGTCATATTAAATGTAATGATTTTGTATTAAAGGTATAGTTCACACAAAAATGAAAATTAGCCCATGATTTACTCACCGCAAGATATGTATGATTTTCTTCTTTCAGACGAATGCCATCAGAGTTATATTAAAAATGTCATGGCTCTTCAAGCTTTATAATGGCAGTGAATAGTGGTCAACATATTTAAGCAAAATAAATCCATTCATCCATGCATCCATTCATCATAAAATACGCCTATATCATCCGCTGGAATGCCACTCTCTCATAGAACACGCGCGTACTATAGCGGACGCTAGAGATTATGATTTGTATAGTGTTAAATATGGATATTATTCTTACACAAACATGTCGATCCCACTCTTTAGGCCTTTATTAGGCCTTTATTAACCCCCGGAGCTGTGTGGAGTACTTTTTATGATGGATGGAAGCACTTTATTTTGTTTCAAAATCTTGACCACAATTCACTGCCTTAATAAAGCTTGGAAGAGCCAGGACATTTTTAATATAACTCTGATTGTATTTGTCTGAAAGATGAAAGTCATATACGAATGGCTTGAGGGTGAGTAAATCTTGGGGTAATTTTCATCTTTGTGTGAACTACCCCTTTAAATGTGAAGATTTGCGATGCATGTCTCCATGTGTGTTCGTGTTTGAGTTTTGGGATTGCAGGGAGTTTTAGAGATTAAATTAAAAACTAAAGCACTTCAATTATGATCAGTTGAACGTGTAAATACCAGCCTTGTGGCTTTAATATATGCCATTCAGTGTGTGTGAACTGATCAGCTGTTTAATAATGTTCAGATTGTACATAAAGAGTAATGATGAACAATGTTAAGAGATGTGCATTCTGAAAATGAGGAAATGAAACAATGATCCTCAATAAATCAATTCTTTCACATCACATTTATCTGTAGAAAATCATCCATTTCTGTTAATCATTGTCAATTTGTCATTTGCTGACTTTAAAAGTGGACACTCGGGTGACTTTTTGATCTAATTTACATGTTGATATATTGCTAAGGCCGGCCTTTTTTAATAATATATGCTACGAAAGGAACTAGAAGTGTGAAGTGACCTAAGCAATTAATAATGACGCAACATCTCACTAAAGAGCACGAGGTTTGCGCAAGCAGCGTTGTATGTCTCTGAGGCAGTACTGAACGATACGCCCTTACGAAAATTAACCATGGTTTTACTACAAATAAAACCAAAAAACCATGGTCACTATAGTTAAACTATGGCAAAAGCATGGTTTTGCTACACTAACCATAGTTTAACCATGGTATTTGTGGTAAAACTGTGGTAACTGTGGTAATCAATACGCCAAAAAAACATGATTACTACACTTTTACTATAATGAAACCATGGTTAATTTGATTGGAATAAAATTATGTGAGTCTGAATTTGAAATGAAGCTAGAGCCATGTGCTTGCAGTGCACAACTGCATAGTAAACAAAAGCCTCGTCTGTTTCATTCAGATCAAAGGATACTCTTCAGGGCAGCAAGATCAGGCAAAAATGCCCCGGCTGGCCCTGTGCAAAAATCACCTGCATTTGGCTAATGTTGCATGTGAACGGCCCACCCTGGTTACAACAGTCTAATAACTGGAAGCGGTCACACTACCCTATTATGAAAACAACGCGGGGCATGTGGAAATCGAAGTACTACACACACATGCATACACTGCAATTATCAGTATGATCACGGGACACGGCTTCCCCATGCAAATAAATTCAAATAAGAGAGAAAAAGTTAGAGAGTTAGAGCACAAAGGAGGAGGACAAAATGCAACAGAAAGAAAAGATACCAAAACAAATGAACCAAGTCACAGCATTTTTTTGTGCGTGCATGTGAAGTGTTCTTTGCTCTTTCCTGTCTGAGGCAATTGGTTGTTTCTAAAGTGATGTGTGTGAAGAGGAAGCAATGACGTTAAATAGCACCACTACTTAAAAGATGTTAATGATAAGGACACTTCTGAGACATTGGGACAAAACTGATTCTACGCTAATGTGCTCGCCTGCGGAAAAGTTTACAAGGAATTGAGGTAAGGCTGTTTGACGTGCATTCATATTCAGGTTTGTGTGTGTGTGTTTGTGTGTGTGTGTGTGTGTGTGAGTGTGTCTCTAGTTTTAAATCTAAACTAGGGGTTCTACAATACAAAGTCTTTTGGTAATGTTTTATTGAGAGTAAATTGGACTTGGTGACCTTTTTATCTAAACATCTGATCTATAATAGTCAATTTTCACATGATTTTGCTTGAAATGTTTGTAAGGACTTTACAACATTTAACATTGCTAGATGAGTGAAGGATCATATCTGTCATAAATGTGTTAAACATGGTTAACACCCTTTCAGCAGGAAACGCTTCATAGAATATAGATGACTAGCAGCATAACTAATATAAAAAGACAATTCATGACCTAACCCTATAATACTAACTTTAACCAAAATCATAGGCTATTCACAAAAAAATTCAAGTAGGTCACCGTAAGGATCGGTTTAAAAAAAAAATGCAAGAACTGCAACCATAAGCATATTCTGATTAGGCAACGATGTCAGTGTAACAGCTTGTGGTGCGCTTAAAAAAAACAAAAAACATCCCAGTGCTTCTTCAGGGATTCGTGCCACGCGTGTCGCATTGATATGTCCTGTTAAATTAGAGAAGTTAAACTTTGAACAAACAGACTCATGCAGTGTGTCATTGTGCTAGATTTTCTTGAAAGCAAGAGAAAGCGTCAACTGTACGAAGTCGAAAGGGTACATTTTGGGAACTGAAGATTAACTGAAGAGGGAACCCAGTATCCAAGTCCTGTTTTCTTTCACATGAATTTCCATGACTTTTCAATAACATTTCCAGTAGTTCATGATTAATGTTTTAGGATTTTTTTGTTTGTTTTGTTTAATGATTTGACAGATAATCTACAAAAATAAATAAATAAATAAATACTTTGCTCAAATAAATACGTTACAACTGCATTATTAGAACATACAAAGACATTTCCATGACATTTACAGTGAACCTGTAGCCTATGACAGTAAAAGAAAGTGAATCAGGGTATAATTGAGACTTTCTTGTCATTGCAACAATGAATGAGATAAATCAAAGTTTGATGATTATGTGTTTAATTATGTCTGAACAACTGCTATTTTCATTATGTATTATGTACTACGTCATCAGTCATATTAAATGTGATGACTCATGTAATCTATTAAGGGATAGTTCACTCAAATGTGAATGTTCTGTGGCACATAAATATAAAAATCCCAGTCATATAGTGGATTTTTTTTGTTTTTTTGTGGATTTACAGAAACCAAAAGGGGAACTGCTCTTTGTGTTGGGCAATGTTACTACTGCGAACACAGCAAAACAAATACTATTTATATAGATGGATAGATGGATGGATGGATGGATGGATGGATGGATAGATAGATAGATAGATAGATAGATCTGTATAAGCACAGATTGCTTCATTAGCAAAAAGGAAAGTGATCTTGTTTTTTCCTCTCTCTGTTTACTTTATCTCCACAGCAAATACAAGAAACAACACCATTAACTTTGAACCAAATGGCCACTCTTGTCCCTACAAATCCCTCAGCCCTATCCGGACCAGCTCAGACCTCCATCGCGCCCGCCTCCCTGTCCTCAGCATCCCTGCCCCTGTCCCATCAGATCGGGATTGCTATCTTGGTCATTGCCTTCGTGTTTGGTTTCCCCGGGAACCTGTTCGTGGTTTGGTCGGTTCTGTGTCGAGTGCGTCGCCGCTCCGTCACGTGTCTGCTGATCCTGAATCTGGCCGTGGCGGATGCACTGGTTCTCCTGAGCGCTCCGCTGTTCCTCCGCTTCCTGGTGAAAGGGCTACACTGGGAGCTTGGGTCCGCCCTGTGTAAGACGGTCCATTACCTGTGCTGCGTCAACATGTATGCATCCATCTACCTGATATGCTTGATGAGCATGGACCGCTGGCTGGCCGTCACAAAGCCGTTTCTGTCTCAGAGGTTGAGGACCAAGAAAAGGCTCCTGTCCATCATGTTGGGCATCTGGGTGATAGCTTTTCTGATGGCTTTGCCCATGCCATTCTATCGGTAAGTTTGAGTGTTACACTGAAACACAAATCACACTTTCTTCAAGCAGTTACATCAGTAACAACCTATGACTATAACTTCATTACATTTGAAAGACAAATATACTTTTCTCTACACTACATTTCTATTGAGGTCCTCAAAGTAGAAAGTTGTTATAATGTAGCAGCTTTGAAAGTCAGTGTGTGATTTTTTCTTCTTTAAATAATGACTTATACAGCTACTGTTGTGTTGCTGGGTTTTAAAGCAGGATTGATTTTTTTCTTATCAGTCTATTTACAACAATTTCACTGTCCACTCAGTTCAAATGTGGATGAATGGCTACGGGCAGATGTGTGCACTCACTGCCAGAGCTGTGTGAGATCACTATCATCCTGCTTTTGTGTGGGTGGGTAGGGGTGTTAATTAATTAATTAATTTATTTATTTATTGTTTGTTAACTCACATGTTTCACTTCTAGAGGTTTTTAACATTTTCTAAAAGCTCTTTATTCCAAAGATACTACAAGCTAGTCAGTGTATTCAGTAGGTGTAATGTATTGTAAGTTGCTTCAGAGGCATAAGGTATTGCATACAACAATAATAAAACAGTGCATTGACATAAAAAAAGGATATTTCCTTTTGGTACTTAAGTACTTTTAAAAGCAAGTTGTAACCTGGTTCAATGTCAGAGCAAGACGAAGAAGTCAGAGATGGTGAGTGAACAAAGCTTTTATTAGCCTTTCAACAAAACAAAAGACAAAAACTAATTCCTGTGAGGCTCCCTGCCGTACACAGTTTCTGTGATCCAAAAGTCTCTCTCCCCTTCACATTAGACATCATTCACTTGACCTCCTTATCACCGCTCGTCTCCGCACTCGTTTCTCTGCTGCAGACTCCGCCCTACCACGCCCCCCTTGCCACATACCCCCACCGCCTGACTCAGGCCGGGGAGCCATCCGGCCTGCAGCCCCTCCCCCCCATTCCTAGAGAGGAAGTTAGCTACAGCCATCTGCGCCTCCGGCCTGTGGACCACCTTGAACTTAAAGGGCTGTAAAGCTAGATACCAACGGGTGATCCGTGCGTTGGTATCCTTCATGTGGTGGAGCCACTGGAAGGGCGCCTGGTCCGACAGAGGGTGAATTCCCGTCCCAGGAGGTAATAACGGAGGGTGAGAATGGCCCAACAAATGGCTAAACACTCCTTCTCAATGGTGCTGTATCTCGTCTCTCTGTTTTATAGCTTCCGACTTAGATACAGCACTGGCCGTTCCTCTCCCCCGACCACCTGCAACAGGACTGCCCCCAGCCCCCTGTCTGATGCGCCCGTCTGCATCAAAAAAGGGAGATAAAAGTTAGGACAGTGTAAGAGCGGCCCGCCACACAGAGCAGCCTTTACTTTGGTCAGAGCCTGTTGGCACAGCTCCGTCCACTGGACCAGATCTGGTGCATCCTTTTTTGTAAGATCAGTCAGCGGACTGGTGAGCTCCGAATAATTGGGTATAAATCTCCAATAATATCCCGCCAGCCCGAGGAACTGTCTCACCTCCTTTTTGGTCTTGGGACCTGGGCAGGCTGCAGTCACAGCAGTCTTGTCAATTTGGGGACGCATGTCCCATGTCCCAAGTGGAAGCCCAGATACCGTACCTCCACACGCCCAATTGCACACTTCCGCGGGTTCGGCGTGAGTCCCGCAACCCTTAGCGACAGCACGCACATGTTCGAGATGCCGCTGCCAATCATTACTGTAGATCAGTGGTTCTCAACCCGCGGCCCGTCACAAATTCAAATGCGGCCCACCATGCTGAACAGAATTAAAAAAATAACTTTCAGTTTTACAATTCATTTGAGTTTTTACATGAATTAAAAAATGTACTAAACAAATATAAGCTATAATGTTTTTGTTATGTAAAATAATTTTGTTTTTCATATATTATTTTCAGACATGAGCAGACCTGTACTCACACTAACGTTACGCATCTAACGAACACTTACAAGCATGCACTTTGGCAGAATTCAATTCAAATAATCATCAGCAGCCATTAGTTCAGTAAAATTGAGCATCAGAATGGACACATTTGTTATTAAGGGAGAAAAACGAAATGTGGAAAA